GTTGACAACGAACTGTTTCTGAGCGTCGTAAGCAGTCCCCTTACCGATAATACTGGAACGCGTTTGCGTCTGCGCACCCAACACCGCCCACACGTACGTTCGAATCGAGTCGTTTAAGCGTTCAGTGCCGGCACGAGTAAACCCTTTCGACGTGTCCAACATAAACTTTTTCCAGTCATCCGCTGCCCCTCCCTGATCAAACCTCCAGACTCTGTACTCCTTGTTGGCATTGAAAGCCATGTAACGGTCATCCCACTCGTTGGTTGTGAAGAGATGATACGACTTGTATCCCCAATCTTCACCAGCAGTTTGCTGGCTTCCACAAGGGGCATTTGGTGAACGATGGGGATACCCAACCCGTGGTTCGCCCCCGCAAACGCCAATCCGTCTTCGGGTTTAGTTCGAATTCGTTGCAAATACGTTCGTAGGCTCGCCTATCGTACTTGTTGTTTAATGGGTTCCATGCATTGTCCTGTGGGAGCGGGACGCTGATTTCTTTAAGGATACGCCTGACCTGGTAGTACACGTGGAACTTGAACACAGACTGACTCAGCGTCCACGCCGAAAGTGTCGGTCAATGTCACACCACACCCCGCTGTAGCACACCACACGGCGAAGTTGAGTTGATTCTGCCAGAACTGCATCGGGTTGTTGAACCAAGCATGAACTACCTTAGCGTTAGTCACCGAAAATTTATACAGGCTGAACACATCTAAAAGCTGGGCGCTGAAATACATCCCATCAGCAACCGCGATCTTCATGGGTGAGAAATCTATGTCCAGTTTAGGGTAAAACACTCCAGGGAGTAAGACACTCCTTGCGAGGATGCTCCTCCTTGGGAATACATTTTAAAACTATTATATAATGAGCATATATACTCTAACATGTACATAACACTTCCAGGAATAACGAGCGGTGAGGCCATTCAGCTGACGCACGCGATCGATAATACGTCCGGTCAACTCGAAGTCGCACTCTGCGATATCACCTACCTACCGCAATGGACTAACATCATCAACGCCAGCAACAATAAGCTGTTCGTTAGTGGAACTCGCAGCCAGATAACTGACGGCTACTACAGCGCAGTGCTCGCTAAGCGATGAGGTCTTCAAACCCCTGGGAGCCGAACTCAAGATGAACGACTCAAACGGCACAGTGGTGTTAATCAACAACGGAAGAAACTCCTTGAGGCTCGGCCGGCCATTGGCGAAAACACTCGGTATGTCACCTGACGAGATAAAACCAACAACAACCGTCACAGGCACGAAGTTACCCGACCTAGTACCGTACCGAGAGCTGTACATTCATCTAGGTCAGGTGAGCACAACGTACAACATTCAAGGGGGTCACCCTTCCACTATACTGAGAGCCGTGCCGGTGAAAACGGAGAAATACAACGACGGTAGAACCGAGTCGTTTTCACCGCGGCAGTATAAGAGGTTGACTCAGGGCAACATACCTGAGCTGATAATATCGGTGTTAGATATAAATCATAATCCCGTGAATATAGGATACCTCAGCTTAACGCTTCACATAAAATGACCAGCGCACAAGGGCCCGGGTGAAAAATGCGTCAATGTGGGGATCTCCGACCTCGGGACACACGCGGCTCGACGCCCCGGAGTAGATGGTAAATTGTACGCCTTGCAACTGAAAACAACATTTACAAACGCGTTGAAGTCCTCTCCGGTGGAGCCCTAGGTGATATAGTAGATACCTCAAGAGCGGTAGTCAACACTAAGTACACCCTAGTCACCACCGGTAATGATAATTGATAATATACCCATCGTTCGGGGCAAACTGTTCGACTTAGACGATGTTGAGAGCACTACCGTCGCCCGAAACAAGCCATATATGCTCGTCTTCACCGAAGATGACAAGTGGGTGTTGATACCAGATAAAGACGACTGGTTTCTCAATATTAGGCTCGGCTCCCCTACGTGTTCACGGATAACAAAGACAACCACCTAAACAAAGTCGTTAACAACGGAACCCTGCTCGTGGGCTTACGTCCCGACTCAGAGACGTAGCGTGAAGTCATCAGCCCAGTCGCCAGTATGGCAGCCCACATGCTATCGAGTAAAGCGGGCATGCAAAACGTGACATTGCAGTTGGTGTCTGAATTTGAAGGCGTGGTCAGGATACTAGAGAGTCTACCGCTTAACTCAACACTGATCATCAAAGTCTACCTAGGGGAACCATCGGGAATGATGTCGAGATCGTGAAGGGGATCAAACTTGGGTGGGTGAAACGACACCAGTATCACGCTTTGCACAGTTTACGCGGCGGGTGGGTGTCGGCTCCAACACCAGTCTGCAGGGTGTCACCGCGGATCGTGGAAAACACTATATCACTAACCAAGATCTTCCTACCTGACAACATACACTTCATGGGGGTGAAGTTAACCCCTGAACTATTATCAGAAAACCAGTTGGAAATTATCTCGTAATAGTATTATAGCAATGACCAGTCATCACCCCAACACTACGCTTAACGACCTAGGGGACACGGAGGGATTCGATCAGCCTGGTGAGGAAGGCTCATACATCCTACACTTGAAAGACAACGTGTATAGGCGGGCAGCAATGGCCGATCATCTACCCAAGCCCACACTCGAGGGCCTAGAGGGATTCGATCAGCCTGGTAAGAAAGGTAGCTTATACATCCTACAATCAATAGGTGATGGGTACGTGCGGAGGCTCCTGCCAGACGACTTTATGAGAAGTCTGCACAACCACTTTATAGAGTCCAAATGTTTGCTCAACATAACCCTCACCACACCTTACGTCTCTTTTCGTGATGTTTTTTGATGATATCACTGAAATTAAGAACAGCGGTATCACGTTCGGGGGGTTTCAACCCGACGGTCTTATAAAGATTAGAATTTCCCCAATCCCAAATCACCCTGGTTATATGTTAGATGCACCCGAGTATGCACAGTTATCATTTAAGGGACACTCTTACCTACAACCTCCTAGGGTGATGTCCCCAGGCTCCACATTAATCGCAATACTTTTTTTAAAAAGCACCCATGGGACTGTCTCATGGGCCCTTGTATCTGGGGTGGAAATAAGCATATCTGAAACCGAATATAAAGACCGCTATTGTAGTATCGTTATACAAATGGACTCGGGGCCTGGTAAGGGGTTTCTGCCCCCCCCTTAACAAGCAACAGGACGTTTAGTGTAAGTCTCCAAAGAAACCCTGTTCACCTTTCCCCTATTAGCATACCCGAGAACGTTGGCCTTGTAAAATTCCAGTACGTTGAGCAACTATTAACTGATACCCAATTAAAAAATATTTTCCCAGATATATTATAGGCACACAGGATGGGGCTGTACCCAGTCATAGAGGAAGTAGCGAAGACACTGGAAACCGTAGACGGGTTCCGCTTGAGACAGTTATGTGATGTAAAACGCCAACTAGAGCAAGACCGCGACACGCGGAAAGCACTATGTAAAAAGTACCATAGAGCTTTCAATATCGTGGACGGGGCTGACACTGCCCTTATGGCAACCAGCATGGGGCTAGGAGCGGCAGGTGTTGGGTTGTTAGCTACCATCGTGGCTACCCCCGTAGTGCTAGGTATCGAAATAACAGCTGGGGTGGCAGGGGGTGTTAGGGTTGGTGCTTAAGTTTGCATCCCGCAGACTGCATCGTAAGGCATTGAAACACGATGAGATCAGGGTTCTGGCTGAAGCAAAGCTGAACACAGTAAGTGAGCGTATTTCCACGGCACTTACTGACAGTAAGATCTCAGAGGAGGAGTTTAGTTCAATCCTCTGAACTCACAAAATATAACAAAATGAAACAAGATATTCGGTCCAAGTCTCGTAAGTCTACTATCAGCGAGGACGAGAAAAAAAAGTACATAGAACAAGGGGTGAAAAAAGCCCGGCAAGCCTTTATTACAAACACCAAAGAGATCATAGGCGATTCACATTAAACTGTTTCATCGAGGTAAACATGGCATAGTGCCATAGCGGCACGTTAGACGCAGCCCAGTATTGGATGGGGCAATACCCGTTACTCCAGCCATGCCCCCGGTAGCGCGGCTAGGAGGTGCGTTCGCATCCCCCAACTTTTGTAGTAGGGGTAATGGCAGCAAGAGCTAAAGGTCCGACCAAAGCCTTACTTGTGAAATAAGGCTTTGCAGAGGCTTTGGTTGAAAGTGATCCAGAACCCCATTGTATATAACCATACCAGGGACCATGGGGACTTACAGTACCTTGGCTACCTGCATGGACTCTTAAACCCAGACGTATTGTAGACTACCCAATGGGAAGCTATAGAAGTAAGCGTTACTACATGTACCTCACAATTTCAATGGAGAAGTGATAGACTGGTAGTTGGTATAGTTTATTCAATAGTTTATTTCTGTTATTTATTCAATATTTTATTTGCTCATAATTTACTAATCATATTATTTCTTATGTATTTATTAAATATTTTGTTTGTTTCAATTATTAATTTCTTCAATTTGCCTTCTACCATTTATTCTTGTATGAACTGTGCTAATGCCCGACAATTTTGCTTATGTGTAGAAATATCGAACAAAAGTTCGCTGTCATTTAGATCACAATGTAGTCAACAACAACAACAACGTGTCCCATGTGCCATCACACGTTTGTGAGAAGGCTGGTTTTGGGTGGTGGTGGTGGTGGGTGGTAGTGGGTGGTGATTGAGGTGGTGGTTGCGTTCTACATAATGAGGTCGAGTTTCTAGACGATTCCTTACCTCTGCATAATTAGGTCATGCTGGTGTTTAATTAGGCACCCTGTTGCATCATTAAAACAACAAAATGGCCGGCTTTCTGGCTCAATACCCTTGGTTACAACATGGATTGTAACAATATCTAAATGTCGATTTTGGAGGATTAGGATCTCATAGAATCCAATAATTTCAAAAGACCTTGAATTTGAGTGGGATTTTTATGTTCTTTGCTTTTGCCTTATTATGTATTTTGTTGTGTCTATTTATATAAATATTTTCTTATTCAGCTGCCGCATCCACGAACATCGGAGCCATACTGGGAGGTGTATTTGGCGGTATCACAGTTGTAGCTATTGCAACCTGCTGCTGCTGCTGTAGACTTTGTTTCAGGAAGAAATCCAGTCCCAACGACCAACAGCAGAGGAACAGATCGTATGAAGGCACCGTCTCTTTCATCAACGTGCCCAGCTACCCGCGAACTACGCCTACTGATCTGCCGTTCATGTTTCCACCACCTCCTTCTTACGATGATGTAGTGAAGGATGACCCCCCACCGTACTGTCAGGCAGTTCTACTATCAGACATACAGCCTGTTGTGACTTTATCCCATGGTGGTGTATCTGAAGGATAGATAACAGTGACAGTCTCACATGACGTACATGATTTGATTACTTGAGAACACTTTAAAAGACTCATTTGTGTGTACTCATCCAGTGCCTTCATCCATATATTTTTTTTGCAGGCGGTATCGTTTCGTACCATGTTTTTTTAACATTAAATATTCAAAATATAAATCACTTCGTTATTAGAGCCAATTTTTAAAATGTTGATTGACTTGACTTATTAGCACATTAATGAGGTTATACAATATGTCTCCCACTTGCATATAACCTTTATATCCACCTTGATAAAAAGTTTTCGTGATGTAATGTATGCAGCAATTGAATTTTTAACAATGTTTTTAATCTTTCAAATTATGTGTACGAATATGTACGATGATGAACGGTTGTCGCCCTTTACAAGTGAAAGATATCACCGACTGGTCGCTTTTCCATAAAGATTGCCTAAAACAATGTGATAATAATGAATGGATACCACACAGTCCACACAAGCCCCCAAGGAAAGACACCTTAGAATTTCCCCTTCGGTGTCGTATATTTGAATAATTTTGTTTTTGTTTTTGTGTTTGAAAAAATATATTCTTTTTCAAATGATGCATGCTGTCCGTTTTCTGTTTATGATTACCATGTGATTGTATTACACATTATATTATACATGTGCATATTTAGGATTGCGTGGGTATGTGCGTGTTTTGTCTGTCACGGGTAAATTGTAAAAAAAATTACTTTGATCGAATCCACGATCACGTGTGATGAAGAATCAAATCAATGGGGAATCTGTGAGTAAAGGATACTAGCATTATCATTGCCAGTTCGTATCTGGAATATAGAAGTGCAAAAGAATAGCCATATCAACTATATTCACAACACATTCCGTCTGGTGTAAGGAGAAGTAGCTGTGAAGATTTTATGAGTTATACCTTGAAAAGCATTGATAACACCAGGTGTTCGCGGAAAGGGCAAGCATATCCTGACCTGCCGGTAGCACCATCCATTGACACAATCTGCCTAAAATGGAAACAACCAAGTGAAAAAGTGGAGAAGTGTGGGTGTTCGGACCGTTAACATATTGACATCATGTACTCCTAGTTATACTCTACCTGCTCCAACATGTCCGGGCACCCGTGAAGAGCAACCTCCTCGTGGTGGGTGCTGGGTAACGCTAAGAGCTCTTCAATCCCCCCGTGTGGACCCGGGGGGTATATTTGGTCCACCAACCTGTTTGCCGTGGGTTGCGCCCCTGTGACGGTGGAGGACGTGAGTCTGGTGGTTGAGGGCACTGGTTCCAGGAACAGTGTTCCTTTGCCCAACACACCACTCCGCCCCTAACTTCACCTAGACGGGTGGTTGAATGGGCCAGGTTCAACCAATCGGCTGGTCATGCCAAACCCTGTGCATGTCTATTTTGCTGCACAAATGCAATAAACTATGTAAATTTTCTGTCAGATGCATTGGCTTGTGATTATAATGTTTGAATTTCCAAAACCTCAATTTTGTAATTTGCCTAGAGTCGTATGCCCAGAAGGCGGCTCATGGGCCAATCTGGTAGAATAATTACTATATATTATTCTGCTTGAGTATATCATCTCAGTATCCTTGGTGCTGCAAGCAGGAGGTCCACTTGTTTTTAACATTGTCCTTGTGATACTCCGTGGTGGGCGGGGAGCTGGGATGATGAATCTATATACATAAACATGGATCCTGAAACCCCCTTGAAAAAGACACGTCAGCTTGATACTGATGAAAGTACACCTGATAGATCTAAGCACATAGAATACTGGCCATGATTTCTAGTGATAGAATCTCCAGATAAAGAACCAATTAAACTCAACCCGTTTGGTGTTTCTAAAGCAGTTTACGGTATAGCAGGTGACATCAAAAATATCAAACGAATGAGATCTGGATCGTTACTCATAGAATGTAGCAAACGACTACAAGCGTCTAACCTGCTGTCAATTGATACACTGGCTGGATTCCCTGTTTCAGTGTCAATCCATCGGACCCTCAATTCTAGTAAAGGCAGTGCCAAGTTTCAAGGGCTTCCCGGTGCATTTAGATATTACATTTCGGACAACGGATATAGAAATTATAACTGCTATAACACTGACGGAGCATGTGGGCCATATCATTGATTTGATCCGCTATCGGCACAACCGCCGTTACATAATGGCACGTACAGCCCCACTATCAGATGTGACTCGAATGCACATTATACCTTGGCAGAACCGCATTTTCAAGGGCTTTCCAATGCATTTAAATATTGAATTTCGGATAACGGATATAGAAATTATAACTTCTATAACACTGACGGAACATGCGCGCCCACTCCCAGATTTGAAGGTCCTCCATAAGCACAGGCGCCGTTACATTAGGTGAAGAAACATTGCACGGGTTTAGAGTTCTGCTCCGGAAAAGAGTACTAGCACAAATTTCAGTCTAAGTCAAACTTGTTGCCATGGAAACGCAAAAAAATAGTTTATTCAGAAATCAAAAACTACCAAAAGGCACCAGTTCACCACCAGATCTATCTATGTGCCAAGTTTCGTGACGGACGGGCAGACAGGCTGACGCAAGGACGGAGTCCATTTTAATATAATAACACATACACACACACACACACACACACGCGCGCGCGCGCGCACGCACGCAAAACGCGTTGCGGGGGATCACAATCATCTATATATATACGTACCAAAGTCCATTGACTCCCATATCATCCTCATCATTACAGAGGATGAGGTAGCCTTGTGGTTAAATCATTTGCTCGTCATCGGCTCGGATTCGATTCCCCACATGAGTATATTGAGTGAATATGGCTGAAATATTGCCGATGTGACTTGAAATCTATATCACTCACACGCAGTGAAGCCCCTGTCCGCTGTCATGATATTGCTAAAAGCAGCGTAAATACATGCTCACTCATCATCACTACCACAGATGAACACAGTTGCAGAACTGTTTTAAATTGTACTTCCATGCTCCAGGGTGTTTCGGAAATGAAATGATAAGCTATGAGACGAAATATACTGAATCACCGAATTATCCTCTGTCTTATCCCGAGTAAGTATACAGGACACGCCAAAACAAAGGTAAAATCGAGTTTTCCTAAGCATCATGCTTAAACACGTCACAATTTATTTCTGGACTCACAAAGGTCCAGAAACTCTCTGCACTGTTGGCACTTTCTGACAAGGGATTTGACCAAATGGAACATGCAGTTGTTATTAATACATGCCAAGGATGAAAAAATGCAAAAAAAATTCTTCGAAAACTTTCAATTTACACTCGCTCGCGCATGGTTTAATTTGAAAGTTTTCGAGGAAAAAAAATCATTTTTTTCATCCTTGGCATGTATTCATAACAACTGCATGTTCGATTTGGTCAAATCCCTTGTCAGAAAGTGTCCACAGTGCGGAGAGTTTCTGGACTTTTGTGAGTCCAGAATTAAATTGTGACGTGTTAAAATATATTTGAATAATTAAATTGACCAAAACTGCGAGTAATAGAATATGGCAGAATGTGATAGGTGTAACGCATTCTTACTAAATTTAAAAAAAGGCAAAATACACAAAATATAAAATCTCAGCACCCCGTAATACAAATGAATAGGAGAGTATTAGTGAAAAAAGATAAATATTTTAAACTGGTGCTTGCGATAAATTGTGCATCAACCAGTAAACAACTACAGGAAACTCTCAACATCATTGGGATTATGCAATGACATAGCTAGTAGAGATTCACCATCAGTGAGCGGAGCTTATATGCACTTGCTGAGCTAGACAACCGTGTTGCTATGCAGGCATCATAGGGCATTGTTTGGAGAACGTGCTTTCGAACAAAATCACATAAAATTACGTAAAAGGGTATTATTGTGATATAGGCCAGCTGGAGTTGCCTCCCTTAGACCATATGTGTAATGCGTGTCAAATCATGATGTACAATGGAATTGATGACGTAATAAACAGTCTTGAGCCCGCCATGTATTCTAGTCACAATGTGTCAGTTGAGGGATCTGAGCCGAATGGATCAGTTAAATCCCCCGAATGAACTTCGTTTCGAAGGAAACTAATCAGAAAACTGGCGAAGATGAATCCAGAGGTTTGAATTATACCTCGTAGCCAGCGGAACCGCTGCAAAGTCTGATGATGTCAAGTGCGCGACGTTGCTGCACGTGGCCGAGATACAGCAGTGCAAGTATTCAATTCGTTTGAATGGACAAATGAAGGTGATGACTAGAAGTTAGATAAGGTTAAGCAGAAATTCCAACAATACTGTGAACCGAAAAAGAACTTAACGATAGAGAGACATGCATTTTTTTTATGAGATCACAGAAAACAGGTAAAACCAATATGTAACAGACTTGACGAATAAAGCTAAAAGCTGTGAGTTCGGAACGTTGACAGAAAACTTGATCAAAGACAGAATTGTCTGTGGGGTGAATAGTAATGGCATGAGAATGAGACTTTTGAGAGAACCTGACTTAGATTTAAGTCGTGCAGTTGATTTGTGTAGAGCTAGTGACGCAAGTGCACAGCAAATTAAAGTGTTAAATGAAGAAAAACATTCATGCAATCAACAAAGGTGGTAATTTCCGAGAAAAATCAGAATAAAGCCAAACCAAAAGTTCTAGAGACAAAGTCAAGCAGAGACAGTAGAGCAAAACAGTACTCTCGTCAACAGTATCCCCAGTGTCGTGCATGCGGATATCAGCACATGAAGGATAGATGCCCTGCAGTCGGTCAAACTGGTGATAAATGTAGTCAGGTATTACAATACTATCACAATACATACTCTCCCTTAAAAGAAACGCATATTGATATATGTAATTTCAATATATTTTTTACAAAATTCGTGTGTGATTGTTATAGTTTTGCCATTATAATGATAGTTGAACAAATGCACAGAGCAAAAACCCATCGTCGGAAACGTTAATGCATGTTTACGTTCGAAAGTGTCAATTTGAATAAAAATGTCATCTTCTAACAAGATCATGCCTGGCCTCACACAGCAAAGACCACTATTTAGTATTTTCAGAATGAGAACGTTTCAGTACTTTCATGGCTTTCTAAATCGCACGATCTCAACATCATGAAGCATTTTCGGAAAGACCTCGGCCGAAGCGTACGTGAACGTCAACCGGCGTCCAGATATTTGATCAAATGTCGCAGTAGGACCACAAGGTCGAAATCAAAGACTTAATCAGCCCATGCCGAGATGGTACAGAGCAGTTTTGTGTCCCATAGTGGCCACAAGAGATATCGAAGACAACGCCAATCTGGAAACTTTTTATAAGATATACATGTTGACAAATATGTAAGATTTTATACCGTGAAATTTGGCCACAACTGATCCAGAATTACACGTGTCACATCACTTTAAAGTTAGCAGATTAGATTCATGAAAATACACCTATGCCTTTTCTTTCTCTTTTTTTTTTGGGGGGGGGAGGTGTGTGGTGTGTTTGTATATAATTGAACATCTTCTTTATTCATACTTTTTTCATCCGTATACAGGGGATTGTTAAATTTTATTTCCAGCCAAAAGGTTTGTAGTTTGTTAACCCTATTCCCTATTCAACGTGGATT